GAAATCAAGGCAATCGAGAATAATGATACATAGGTGTTAGCTACACTTCCAATATGACACATTGCAATTTGTGTAAAGTGGGTGTACAAATAAAAAAAAAATGTCAAAGGAGAAGTCGAGAAATATAAAGCAAGATTGGTGATAAAAGATTACAACTAAATAGCTGGCATTAATTATGATGAGCTATTTTCTCATGTTGCTTAACTTGAAATTATAAGGCTAATCATTTATTTGACAGCTCAAAATAGGTGAAAAATATATCAAATGAATGTAAGGTCTTCCTTTTCTAAATGGAGTCCTTAAAGAGAAAGTCCATATTCAACAACTTGGGCTATAAAGTCAAAGGGAAAGAAGACAATACTTTGAAGATGAAGAAGGCTCTCTACGGGTTAAAATAAGCACCTAGGGTATGAAGCAATCACATCGACAAATATTTCTTTGAGAATAACTTCATCAAATGTCCTTATGAGCATGCCTCTACATCAAAGTCAAGGATGCAAATATTTTGATAGTGTGCTTGTATGTGGATGACTTGATCTTCACTATAAGTAATTCGCGTATGTTTAAAGAATTCAAGAAAGTGATGGCTAAAGAGTTCAAGATGATGGACATTGAACAAATAGCGTATTATCTCGTTATTGAAGTTAAGCAAAAGGATGAAGGCATCTAGATTTCTCAAGAAAGCCATGAAAAAAAAAATACTCAAAAAATTCAATATGAATGATTGGAACCCAATAAGCACTCCGATGGAATGTGGAGGTAAGTTATTAAAAAAGGAGAATGATGAAATTGTCAATTCAATATTTTTTAAGAGGTTGGTTGGTAGCTCGTGTTATATAACTTGCACTAGGTCGGACATCCTTCATCCTGTTGGAATTGTTAGTAGTTATATGGAGGCACCAACTACTACTCACTTAAAGGCTGTCAAGAGGATTCTTCGTTATATCAAAGGTATGATCGACTTTGGCTTATTGTATTCATCATCAAATGATTTCAAACTTGTCGGATATTGTAAAAGCGATAGGGCCGAAAACTTTGATGAGCAAAAAAGCACTACAGGGTTTGTGTTCTACATGCCAGAGAAAGACCGGAATGAAATGAGCAGCCAAACGGGTCGTGTTCAGAAATAGGGCTTTCGCCGGCGGACTTTCCGGCGTCCGGCCCGGACGCCGGAACTTTTTCCTACGCACGTTTCGTCGGTTTCAAGTTGTTGAGTTTAAAATAGTCGACGTATTCTCCGCCGGCATATTCCGCCGTAAACTCTACCGGTAATAATGAAAAGATGCTAATTTCCGACGTTACTACCGATGCAATGGACGTCGACAAGTTTCCTGGAATAAACGCCGTTAATATTCCTTTGCATTATGCGCCGGTACAAACGTCGTATTTACCGATGCAAAAAATTCTGTCGGAACATCCGACGGTATTCGTGTGTTTTCCTGTAGTGAGACATTGTTTTTACTTGGATGTCAAATAAAAAACCAATCGACGCCATTTCTATTTATGAAGCTGAGTAGTTTGCTGCAACTTCATGTGTCTGTCATGCAATTTGTCTTCGAATTTTATTAAAGGAGTTAAGATTGCCACAAGAAGAGCCAATAATGATTTGTGTAGATAACAAGTCAACTATCACTTTGGCTAAGAATTCTATTTTCATGATCGAAGTAAACATAACACACGATATTACTTCATTAGAGACTACATCACAAGGATGTGCAAATAGAGCATGTGAAGTAGCTGATATATTCATCAAGCTCCTCACACGTGAAGATTTTATCAGGATAATAAATTGCTCAGGATGACAAATCAAGTTTAAGAGGGGGCGTCGAAAATTAAACTTGATTTAATTAATTTGGCCTTTTAATTGAGCTCATAATCTAGAAAAGTCTTTAGAAAATTCTAGAGTCTTATTTTATGAAGAATGTTTTAGAGGATTCCAGAAATATATTTTAAAACAATGAATTAGATAATTCTATAATATATAATTAATGACTTTTATAAATAAAGATAGGAAAATATTCTACAGAGTCAATATTAGCTATTAGATTGAAATGTTCTCAACATCTCAGCCATGAAGCCACCATCGCCCATGATAAGATTTTGAACAAATGAGCGTTGGTTGCTTCATGGCTGAGAAAAGTATTATATAAAGATCATACAAGGAAGAATAATTTTTCTCTCTTTGTTATCATTTCTGTAAAAGGATGCTGGGAATTAATAGAGAGATGGTTGATGGAGTTGACTGTATCTTCAAGATTATAAGTTCAAGCTATATACTTTATGTTTTATCCCTCATAATTTCCTATATAAGATAGAGTAAAATGTTAGAATAAAATACCTTTTCATATAGGAAAGTCTACTGAACAAAATTAGCAGAACTTAACGTGTACAAATTTAGCATGTAATTACATCCATTCAACTATCTTTTCTATTAACTATGATTGCTTAAGGGCCTATTTAGTTGAATTACTTTTGGAGTAAAGTATTTCAAATAGAGGGTTTTAACAATTTAGATGTTTGGTTGAATGAAAAAGAAATTTAGCGTAAAGTAAATGTAGTATAAACAATTCTAATTCTTTTTTGAGATAAAACAAGTTCACTCAGTTTTGAGTGAGAATGCTTTACACCGCATGCAAGCTTGCTTGACCGCTGCCAATCGCCATCACCGCCGACCAACCGCCGACGGCCATCGCCACCAACCACCACTGTCGCCACCCTATGTCCACCACCGCCACCGCACCCTACTGACCATCGCCACCGATCGCCGCCACCGCCACCACCCTCCGGCCACCGCCACCTTCCGCAATCGGCTAAAATTTTTAAATTTGACACTACGTTCATTTTATTTCAAATCAAACAAAAAAAATCATTCAACTGAATTTGCTTACACTTATCCAAATAATTCTAAAATATTCTATTTACACTGTCTTCTTTCTGCATTGCATTCTTTTTTTAACGAACCAAATAACCCCTAACTTTTAAATGATCTCTCATAATTAAATGCTAAAAACTTATTTCTATAATTGAATGATCATCTGATTCATCTCTCATATTGAGAGAATTGATTTCAAAGAGTGCAAACTCTGATTTATTAGACAGGGACTTCTCCATGGCAAACGCCAAACTTATCGTTAACTTGTTTCGAAATGCTTTTGAGTTTTGACTACTAATTTTTATTATTTAAAGTAAATTATATTATAAAGTTATTTTAAAAACCAATAAAAAAATAATTCCGCACAAAATCTTAGTTTAATAAATATCGAACAATAAATAAACTACATAAACTAGTTCAACGGCCCAACTCGTTATTTACCGCATTAATTATACGGCAAATTTTATATCTTTTTTAGTTTATTAAGATATACATTATAATAGTAAATTTGTCATAAATTTTAAAAAATTATAGCAAAATATTCCAATATAAATTCCCCCCTCCTCAAAAATAAACTCCTATTTCTTCTCGACTACCGATCGGACCTCCGATCTTGGGCAACCACCAGTCATCAATGTACTTCCGCCTATTCATTGGCCCCCTCCGAATATCTTTTCAACCAATGACTATCATCGGATTTTTGCCAGTTCATTGTCCGCCGCCAGATCTCCGACTGTCTCCAGATTTTTGTTTGTTCGTTGGCCGCCGTCGGATCTCTTCCTGACAATCAACTGTCGCGAGACTTCCGCTTGTTTTTTGGTTTTCGCCGAATTTCTTCCCGACCACCAACTGTATCCAGATTTCTGCTTGTTTGTTGTCCGTCGTCGAATCTTTGACCACCAACCATTATTGAATTTATGCTCATTGGTAGCCGTCAGATCTTATTCCAACCATCAATTACCATTGTACTTCCGCCCATTGATAACTGCCGAATCACTTTTCAACAATCGACCGTCGTCAGATAACCGCCATTGTTTGATGTGAGACCTGCTTCCGTCCACCAAATGTCATTGGACTTTCACTTGTTGGAGTATCCATCAAAGTTTGGCTAAAATTTGATCAATTCTCCAACATATTGTATTCTCATCATCTTTGAGTTCAAGGACGATTTAACCTCTGTAACTTGCTTAGACTTTAGTGAAATCATTTCAAATGGGGAAGGCCCTATAATTTTTTCCTTTTCGGATTTTTCACGTCAAAAGTTCTAGTATTTTCTCACTCTCTTAACTATTAGTTTATGTGTTGATTTTTCGTGCATCGTTAAGATGAAAAGTTCTCTCTCTAATACCGCAAATATATTAGCCCGCAGAAATTACCATCTTCTCTCATGCCTCCATGCAACCACTATTGTATTAACATGTTATCCAAATTAATAATAGTCATTGCAGTTCAAACTTTCTGAAAAACAACAAGATATTAGTCCCAATTCAATTTTATTTCAAACTTTTATTAAGTTTAATCATAAAATCATAAAGTGCAACATACATGCTCTATATTTTTTTGTCGATTCAATAATTTTTTTATGAATTACACTAAAATCAAATAACTAAATCTAACTATGGAGATATTTTTAGTAAGTTTAGCTTAATAAAAATTGTTACTTCAATAATTAATATTTGGTTAGTATTAGTAGCACAAATTTATTCTTAAGCTAAATTCATATAAAAATTATCTCATTTCCTTGGAGCAATTACATACAACATCTTAAAATTGATTATTTAATAAACTAAAATATTTTTACATATATTCTTTAAATTCTCACATAAATATTAAAATTCATAACAAAACCCCAACCTATATTTTTTTTTTGCTTTTCTTTAATTCTCAACGATTTGATCGCAACATGCAAGATTTAATACACGAAGACATCGCTTGTGACAACCTTTTCTTTACAAAATTTTTTAACTAAAAAACGGTTTTAGAAAGCATTAAAAAAGTTGTCCAGTATCTATTTTAAGCTAAAAAAGTTGAGCATTTCATAATATTTAAGAAAATAACAACTTTTTTAATGAAAAATGGACAACTATTAATCTAGCAACTAGAAACGACTGATAAAGAAGGAAGCAAATGAAAGCAAAACCTATCCAACAAAGGATATGATTGCTAAATATTTGTCTTCTATTACAAAGTACAAGCACAGCTGTTTTATAGATAAGAATTCCAAATAATTATGACCGGGATGACTTCAAATAGAATAGACATCTTGTACAGACATGGCCACAATTGACACTTAAAAAAAAAGTTTTGAGGATACAGAACATAATAAGGTAGAAAACAAGAAATTTTTAGCCTTTCATACGAGCCAACCAGGCGGCATGTAATTACTGACGTTTGTAGCAGTCGTTGGTGCCATTGTTATATCAGAATGATACCTGTTTAAAATAAAAATAACAAAAGGAGAAAAATAATGTAGTCATATTTAGAAAAATTAGAATCTCTGTTCTTTACGTTTAAGAAATGATGATAGTGTTGTGCAAGCAACCTGCAATACTAAGTCTAAGTGAACATAAAAATCGACAGTATTCATGTATAAATATTGACAGAGTTGGTGTTAAGAGTATTTCTATTTTTATTTGAGCTACCATTCGTTAATAACTACCGATAATGTCCAAGAAAGGAGAAATTATTAGGTGCGGAGTTCGGATACAGAGATACGTTCGGACATCCACTTAAAATGTGAGACGTGGAGCGCGCTTTGATTGTACTTTTTTGTGTCATTTATTTGTGTTTTACCTACACTTTAGTTGTGCTTTGACTGCTCTTTTGTTGCAGTTTTTTACTGCGCTTTTGATGTGTTTTGCTTAAAGTTCCACGGACACATTAAATATATAAAGTAAAAAAAATAAATCAAATTGAATATCCATGTGTCAATATTTTATTGGAGTCATGATATATTTCCAAGTCTGGACTCCACACCTAATAATTTCTCGTTATTTTGGGAGTTTGTCTTCCCTTTCAAACCACTAGTTCTCACAAAAACGGGAAATTATTAGGTGCAGAGTCCAGACGTAGAGATACGTCCGGACTCTAATAAAATATTGACACATGGATATTCAATTTGATTTTTTTTTTTACTTTGTATATTTAATGTGTCCGCGGAATTTTAAGCCAAGCGCATCAAAAGCACAGGTAAAACGTAGTAAAAAAGTGCAGTAAACAAGCGCAACAAAACAATAGTCAAAGCGCAACTAAAGTATAGTTAAAGCGCACAAAAAAGTGTAATCAAAGCGCACTCCATATGTCACATTTTAAGTGGATGTCCAGACGTATCTCTGCGTCCGGACTCCGCACCTAATAATTTCTCCAAAATAACATACCCAATCTGCAATGTTGGCTCGCATTCCAAGGGGTGATAGAATACATCGGCATGGTGCTGAGCCGGGTGCCTTCCGTATTCAACAGCATGCGTAGAGCTAGGATCCCAGACTTGCTGATGGGCTGTCTGATTACTTTCCTCAAACTGCTCACATGACCATAGAATCCACATCAAGAACATACAAAGTTAGAATGGAAAATTTGGAGAAAATAGATTTCTTCATTCTGATTACCCTTCTCTTCAGAGCTTTATTGGCCTCGCATAGCATTTGCTCCTGTCGAAAAAAAATAACAGCTATAAGTTTCCATTGGCACACTGAAACCGGTCATAGTATTTTAACATTTACCCTTCGCTGAAGGTCAGCTAGCTGGTCGAGCATGAACTGGGTCTGTTTCAATACAGAAGTTTTTTAATTACTTATCAGCATGTAAGAGGTTTTCTTCATAGATTTTGATATCTTTAGTAAGAAAATGCATATAATTGATACCCTTGTTGATCTAATCTGTTTAAGAGAGGCGTCCAGCTGCCTCTCCAAGTGTTCGAGCTCCTTGCTGCTCAGTGGACCTAGGTCCTCGCCAAGCAAATTCCTAGAGCACTCGCAGATGAAATAATGAGATAAAGAGTATTATTTCTCTCTTGTATCTAGCAATATCGAATACCTGCCTAGAGAATTTAAAAATGTAGGTAAAGTGATCAGAGTGGCAAATGTTTCACCTCTGAGATCTTTGTAAGGCCTCTACTCGGGCTTTAAGTTTCAAGTACTCCTGCTGACTACTCTGCGCCCAACAAGAACCATAACAGTTAGTAATCATTTTGATGATCTTAGTTTTGGTTTGAGCAGTGAAGAAAAGAAATTTAGATGTAAATATCCCAAGCTCTCAAGATTTAGTTTATAATTTTGATAATTAAAACCGTTCATGTTTAAAAAGTTGCAACATTTGAGTGTGAATTTTTTTATAGTCAATTTCAGAATTGGATTGTCCCATAGTCAATTTCATAATAAGGTTAAAAAAATGGTTTGTCGCATAGTCAATTTCAGGTTTTTGAATAAAATATATGATAAATCATCTTGATAAGCTATCTAAAATTGCACTTATAAAGTGCTCTGCTCCACAACCACTGCTGCCATATTCTCCACTTTTACTGCCAGTCATATTGATCACTGTTGATGCTCTATACAAATAAAATGAACAGTTGACTTATAACCAACTCTCTAGTCATATGCTTTATATATCATTTGTAATATCTTGAACAGATGGGTTAGATAACATAACGAAAGGTTTTTTCACTTTTTCCTCTATATTCAATGTAGTCTGTATGAGTTAATTTGCTACATATTAGGTTGTCCAACATGGTATCAGAGATTTTTTAGCATTACTGCTTCTGGTGATTTCTCTTCTTTTTTTTTTTCTCTCCTGGAGCTCTTCACAACTACAGCTTTTCATGGCGGCATCAGCAGATACTTTGTCCTCTCTTACACCCATCTCATCTCAGGCTTCAAATGAAAATCCCATCCCTCCCAAATTAAATTTCTTATGGCCAATGTAAAATCTGTGCTTAATATTCAATTAATCACATATAACTATCATATTTGGCGTGCGCTGATCCTAAAATTTTTTAGTGCTAATGGTTATATTGGTTACCTTGACGATACTCTTCCGGCCTAAACCTCCTAAACAAAAACTTCTTTTTGATGGTTCCATTGTTGCAAATCCCACATTCCAAACATTGATGCTAGTAGACCAAAACCTTGCGGCAGCCTTATTTTCCACTATTTCACCTTCGTTACTTCCTTACGTCTCACTCTTCACTCCTTCCATTATATTTGGCTTACTCTTGAACGCTTCTTGCAATCGTCCAATCCCCACATTCTTTAGTTGAAAAATGAGCTGCATCACATACAAATGAGAGACAAATCTATGGTTCAATATCTCTCTAATATCAAAGAGAAGGTTGATGTTATTAATGATGTCAGATCTACTTTTGACACTGAGGACATTATTCTCTATACCTTTAATGGGCTACTCTCCTCTTACAATGCGTTTAAAACTGCAATTCAAACAAAATTGCATCTTATCAACTTAGATGACACGTATGCCTTGATTTGTACTGAAGAGTTGAATATTACAGTTGATCATACAGCCGACATCCCATTTGTCAACGCTGGCGATTCTACCTTTGTGCTTGTTGCATTTTGTGGCCGCTCCATGCATAGTCCTGCTACATCATGTTGTCGCAATTGTTCTTCTTCTTTCAATCGGGGTGGTCGCTCACCTCCACACCCTACTCATGGCATTCTGCGCACCTTTTAATGACGTGGCCTACTTTTCATCAGAATGTGAAAAGTTATGATCTTGTAATGGAAAATTTCTATCCTTTTAATGATTTGTATGGATTGTCCTACCCATTCCGATAAAGTTATAGCAATTATCTCCTTTGTTGCAGACAATCACTGCAAAAATCTATAACCTCATCTATTTTGAATAGCTACTGAGATGGTTGGAATAATAAGATGCCTAGTACTGCCATGAGCATGATTGATAGCATGAAGAATGAGTCTTTTTGGGTTGAATAACCTTTATGTTGAAAGGATTGAATATATCTTTCATATTCCAAGTTCAAGAAACATATAACAGAACATTTGACATTTAATTGTCTAGGGTTTAATTGTCGTTTGATGTCCTATAAACAAAGAACTTCTCTAGGTTCCCTTTTGAAAGTTCTATGGGAAATCCTTTGCTAAGTGGAGATCGATCGGATTAGACCTTCTTTCTATAGATGAACATGTATCAAGAGTTAGCATCTCTCAGGGTCTATGTAGAACCGAAAAACTTCCTCCAAATCTTATAGTTCTTCAGATGGACCTAGTCATCCATGCATATGAAGAGATCATAAGAAGTACAAAAAACCTTTGTGAACAATGCATAATTGATTATGATGCTTCATACACAATATATAAATGTGTTTAACAATAAAGAGAAATCATAGTTTGATGATTTGAAAAATAAATAATTCCTATAATTCATTAAGATCTTATACTAAAAAAAATTGTCTAAGCCACACTTGCGGGCAATATTAACAAACTTGTGAGCAGCACACTACAATTTACCTGTAAATGGGAGTAGAGAATTCCCACAATGATTATCCTATGGGCATGGACAAGAAGCTTGAACAAAACAAACCAGCATGTCTAAGGATAGTAGCGGGGAACTTTTAATGCATGCTATAGTTTATCTATGAGCAGGAGCAAGGGATTGGTAGTGCACACAATTAGCCTATAAACAGTAATAGGATATTCATATCAAATGGTGTAACTCATAAGCCATAATATGATTTTCTAGTGCTTATTGAATAAATATTCCCTACACGCCATCGAATCCACAACACTTGTACAAGCAGACAGAAGGCTATATCCTTAAGATAATATTGAAAATATATTTGAAAATAAAACCCGCATGTGCTCCGAGAAATGTGATAAGTTTACAAATTTCAATGTCTGAGAATATTACACAGGTCAAATATTCAAATTTTATCTCATCCATGAAAGGATTGGAGTCGACCTGACTTGAATTATAAAATGCCTCCCAAATTCATATGAAAATACAAATGATTTTAACGTCATCCTGATGATTGTCGTATTGATAGGAAATTTTAACTGGATGGGTCAAATCTTAAAACTAAGAAAAATATGAATTCTTAAAATAAAATCTATCACAAAAAAACTTAAAACTCAAACCGATCCACCTCCCGTAATCATTTATCGAGGGTGATAAATTTGAAATTAACCTCAACTTAGAAAGAGTGAATGTCATGTCGGGTGTATAACTAAAATTCATCCTCAAATAGTCTTTTGCTAGCATGAACGTGACATGTGTCCTCTTATCAAGTAATTTTATTATAAAATGACACCATTATATTACGATCACGACAAAAGCCCGTATGTTCCCTAATGGCATCAAACCCTTGAGTAATGGCTTATAGGTATATTCAATAGGCATAAAGCCCTATGTCAGTTAAGGTGGATTCAAATTTATTTATTAACTTAGACTAACACCTTCCTAGGTCTATAAGGTATTCTTGGATAAAACAACTCATGGTCACCGATAATGTGCCTTCTATCAGGTTGGCTCAACTATCTCCTCTGACAAAGTAGACCAGGGATCATGATAATCCGGGATGATAGAACCATGAGATCTTGATCGGACTCGTCTTCATTCCCCCATCATCAGTTTTAAGTATACAGTAATAAATTTTAAGTCATAAACTCTAAGTTTTAATATCAAAGTCAAATCTTAAAGTTGTTGTTATTATATGGGTATTCAATGCCTATCTTATGACTAGCCTTAATCGAAAGTTCTCTCTTGTTATCAAAAGGGGTAATTAACTATAGAGGCTTGCCCTGATAGAAAACTAAAACTCATATTATAAAGTACTTACAAAATGAGTGCAAAATCTACCTTCTGAAATATCACCTGAAACTTAACCTCATTAAAACTTTTTCCAAGAGTAGTGATGAGGTTGGGGCACGAGTTTTCGATCGGAGCCCAAATATGGGAGGGAGTTTAAGATTAAGGGGGAATGATCAGAGCATTTAGGAGCCTTAATTTTATAAAAAGAATTAGGGAAGGAGTCAAGCTATAACTAATTTAATAAACATATATCTAAATTTATATGTATAGAATCAAGAGGCCTATGATTGTACCATGCATAAGAATTTTCCACATAAGCCAACTCTTTTAGACCAGTTAAAAAAAATCAAATTATTAAAGTGCCAATTAAAGCTTGTTGATAAGAATAGGGTTTCCACCAACCTTCTCATATGAAAATCTATAATAATTGAAGCCACCTATAATAATCCAAAGGGAGATGATGGAATCCCTAATGACCTTTAGATCATTACAAAGAGTGAGCCTCTCATCATGAGAATTTGATGCATAAACAACAGAGATTTGCATGGAGGGAAAACCATTTTCAATGGTGCCATGAATTAATCAGTAGGAGGTAAATGAAGGCTTAAAGAAAATTTTTGCTAGATTCTACTTAACCCAAATCCTACCCATCTTAGAGTATTCAAAATTGTGGTAGTTCTGCTCATTATCAAAGAGGCAGAGAACCAGGGGTCAGCAAAGGAATTGTTATTAATTTTTACCTCAAGAATGTATAACATGTCTATTGCAAAGTCACAGACTAAATGCTTACAACTGAGAACCTTATTAAGGCTATTGAAGCCCCTAATGTTCCAAGATGCAATAGAGGGACATATCATTGAGATTTGGAAGGTTGGGGGCAGCCTTCTTGCCTGATTTTACTATAGTTCCTCTCGAAACTTGAGAACTGTTGGAGACATTTGCTTCAAGTATAGATTGTCATGGAATGTTCTGATCAAGAACATCAAATTTGTTATGGGATAAAAATATCCATAAGTTTACTTTGCAGGTTAATTGTGGACTGGGATTATTTGTTGATAAAGAGATCTGTGATGGTGGATGAATGACCTCAGTTTCATTTGAAGTAGAATTAAGGTTTGGGATAATTAATTTAGAGGGGCTTATTACGGCCATATTCATAGCTATTTGCTAGTTTATCTATACTAAGATGGTTTGATATGTTTGGGGAGCAATCTAGGGAGCATGAGAGGTAACTGAGGGGTGAGTAGGATTCTGGTTCGAAGGGGTTGTATTGAGAGTATGATTTTTTGGGTTAAGGGAAGGGTGGGGGAGGTTTGATCTTGATTTTTAGCTCTTGCTTTGACCCATGGGGCAGGGAGGTGCTTGAGAGGATGGTTTAGAAGAGGGGGATGGAGAATCAATTGTCCTAGCTATTTTAGAGATGCAGTCCCGAGTTATGGAGTTTGATCTAGAGAGGGATGGAAGAAAATTCACTACGCTTGGATTTTAACTTCAGAGATCATTTTTGTAGGATAAATTGCTTACCCATAAAAATCCAGGGTCCTCCCAACCATGCCATTTACAAATACTTAGGCGAAGTAAACCTAAGAAAAAGAAACCCTCACTTAGAGATAGAAGATTCAATGAACCTTTAAGAGACTAGAGCTGTCAATATTTGACCCAACCCGAAAACCCGACCCGAAAATTTCGAGTTCAGGTCAACCCGAACCCGAACCGGGTCGGTTTCAGGTTAGGGATTTCGTCCCGTTTGTAGAACCGGGTCGGGTTCAGATTGACCCGGAAACCCGAAATCTACCTGATTTGACCATTTTATAATTAATTTAGGAGGATTTGAAAGGATTTTTATGAAATAAGTAAATGATGACATTGTTGCCCAAATTAAATTAATCTTGATTTATTTTAAATTAATTGAAATAAATCTTACCTTAATTTGATTTAGATTTAAATAAATTGAATTAAATAAAAAAATTTAATAAAATATACCCAAAACGGGTCGGGTTCGGGTTGACCCGGACCCGAAGCGGGTCGGGTTTGGGTTCGGAAAACCAACCCGTTTGCAAAAACGGGTCAGGTTCTGGTCGGGTTTAACAGTGTCGGGTCAATTTCAGGTTGGACCCGAACCCGACCCGTGACCCATTTTTGACAGCCCTATAAGAGACCATGCTTATTTCATAGTGGCCACAAGAGCTTCGTAGAAGGGTCGACAACCAAGGGAATTACCCACCAGTGCGAGGTCCCAATCCTAGACGTTTTGGATGTCATCATAACAATACTTCTTCTATAACTTTTAGTATTAGAAAAGCTATAAAAGCTAAAACTGCCGGTTGGAAAAATCAAGAAGACGCCTTTCATTGGATTTTATAAGTTATTGCATCTTCATTTTTCACTTGTAGAAGACTTATCGTGCAATTTTTTATTATGGGGCCCTGCTACTTGGCTACCTGCCTCTCTTTCTTGTTATTGTTGCCTAATATTTCGGTCAGGTGCTATTTCTCGGTTGCTTGGGAGTTTTCATGCAGATTTTCTGGACGATGATGAATTTTTATATCTATCTTGGAGAATTTTTGTCAGTCGATTATCCTGGAAGATCATCATGGCAACCAGGATTTCTTCCTGGATGGTAATTTCGACAACCAGAGTGTGACTGATTTTTGTGCTTTTTCATAGTTCTTTTGCTCGCTCTGAGTCCAGTGTCTTCTGTTTTTATTAAGTTTCCTTTTATGTACTCATTTTCTTTTGTGGCTTTTTGGTGCAGTCCTTTTTTTGTATTTTAGATCACATTAGGCTGTATTTTTCTTTGCCCAGGTCGTAATTTCTCTTTATTGTTAATGAAAATTGGGCTAAGCCCTATAAAAAAAAGGGGGAAAACGTGTCTCTTTGAATTGTGGCTTCTGAGGCTTGCATGCACGTCTTTATGAAGAAAGATTAATTTGCGTGCAGTTGGAGCGTGCAGGAATTACGTGTGCTTCGTATTATGGGTGAATGGGTATCCTTGTCCTATTGCATACGTCTGTAGCTTCTACGAGGCTTGAGCAACTTGCTAGCAATGTGGTCTTGTGCTACGCGTGTGTGAGGGAATTATGTGATACGATTGCTGAGTTCGACTGTTCGAGTAGTCTTGAAATTTATATTAAAATTGGAATTAATCTAATATTAAATTAATATTGTATCATAGGATGGTTGAGTTTACTCGCGGTGATGTGCCAAATAATTTATTAATCTAGGTTCTTACGAGTCTACAAATAGTCAAGTAATGCATGTAAATCAGAAACTTTGTATCTGAATATTTTGAATTTTAATTTTATAAGTGTAAGTTGAATACTGCTTATTTTTTAAATGTGGTGCAAGTGCAAGTTGAATGCCTGAATAAGGGGAAAATCATCTTGTTGTACTGGCATGAAGCTTGATGTATTTTACTTTAATTATTATTTACTAGTTTAATTTATTATTTACTTGTTTAGTGCTCTTAATTTTGTTAAAATAATGACTGAAAAATCTTATATGTGAATTAATTTGATTTGTTTGTTGATTTTATTTGTTTTTAATTTCTTCCAGAAAATTTTAGATAATTTTAATTATTTAATTATTTTTTTCTTAAATTACAGTACTATTTGTTATTATTTAAAAAAAATGAATTTTTGAATTGATTCGTTATGATTTATAAATTATCAAATTTTCCTTCATATTAATTGCTTTGCAATTTCCTAATTTGGAGTCGTTTTGTATCAATACGTATGATAACACTTTTATTTTGATAATTTTTTAAAACTTTATATTGTCTTATTTGTTAATCTATTTCTTTCATAAAACATTTTAGGTAATTTTCTTGGCTGTAGCGAATTGGTTTCTATCTTTGCAGAATTCATTGCAACTCAAATTTGTTTATCATTGTCATTGATCTGGAGAAAGAAAAAGCTAATCAATTTTAAGAATAAACTAAGGCTCTCTTTTGTAGACAGGTACTCAAGATATAAAAAAAGAGAAGGCATAAAACATTTGGATTGAATTGCTGTAGATTCATAATTAAGACATGCATTATCCAAATTTCATTGCTTCCTTTGACTTAATTTTGGTCTAAACACGGCAAAAAATAAACAAAATAAAACATTTGTATTAAATTTCAGGGATTAAGGAAAATAAAATCATTTGTGAGACTGATAATAGTTGATTTATTTTTACGGGGAAAAATCTCAATCAACTCTATCAGGAAATATAAATGAATATGTTTACCTGGGTCTCTCTTGATATTATATTTGTTTCTGGGCCTTCATAATTGCATTTTTGGTACCGTTCCAAAGTCTTCAACATACTGAAATTCATTAAAGAAAAAATAAATAGTTAGAACCTTAAAAGTTGAAAAATATCAAAGCATAACGTATTTTTGATGTCATGCAAAAGAGTTGTATGCGGGATTATAGGCTCATGCATTCCTCCTTTCTAATTATCATTTATTTTATTTGTTTTCGTTCCTTAAATTAAGACATTACAAGAAAGATTTATTGACATAAAAAATCACAAATAATAATCTTTAGCGGTTATAAAGTGTTGGGATCATAAAAATCTCTGTTTGAACAAGTGCAAATTTGACTCAATGCATATATTTCAAGGGCTTCAAAGAGCAAGATCAATGTTCAAATTCACTTCAAAGAAAAAATCAGACACCAAATAAAATCAAAAACTCAAAAAAGCTGCCACATTAATAGTAAATCAACTGAATAGGCCAATTAATTCATAGTAAATCAACTTGGCGATACCAATCTTCCTTACATGGAGTAGGGACGTAGGGTGATGCATATAAGGAATGACAAGGAGCCATTGATTAACTCCATGAGACCATTACTTGATCCTAAAAAATATCTTAATGAGAGTAACTTACTAATGTTGTCTAATCATGTACGTTGGTATTAGCTTGTTATTATGGAGTTTGTTAATGAATATTTTGAGTACTCACAGCTGCGATGACCTCTACAGATCTCCATTTTCCAAGCCATTTATGGAAAATGACTCATACTTATAGATAAATATTTTCAATTAAAAATGGTCAGACAATGCCATTTTTTGGTAACCCAAGATCTTTGTAATGAATCTATTTTGGGATTACTCCCATTACCATCATCATTAAAATTTTAATTTATATTAACCAATAGTATTTCATTTTGTCCTCTTTTTATTGTCTTTAGGGGATATAGGTTTTTGGTTATTCTCAGTTTTTTTCTGAGTTTAGCCTTTTTTGGTTACCTTACTTGTAATTTCCTTACATAGTAATATATGGGCTTCTTGCCCCATTTTCCCAAAAAAAAAAAAAAAAATTAATTTATCATCGGTGATTGTGCATTAAAGATCTAAAACTATGCATATTAAATTTGTTGAAAAAAAGCATTGTCGGAGACTATCACTAAACCATCACCATGGGACCACTACCAATCACCAGAGCCATCCTCTGTACTTACCATCAGGTTGGTTGGATCATATTAAGAGTGGTATTGTCAAATTATATTTTGATAATGAGTGGGTATAATTAATATTGTTTGTTGTTGATAACTATGAGTAATAATGTGGATTGTTCCAAGAAAAGGACATGGATGTCTTTCATTCATTCTACTAGGATATAAGATTTACTTAGGTCCAAATGAGCCTTAATCTTTTGGGAGATCCTGAGAGAAGCTCCGATAAATTGTGTGGGGCAATCTTAGAAATAATTCAACTTTGATCATTCAAGATTTCAGACTAAGAGCTTCCATCGATAGAGAGAATTTCCCAATAATGTAAGAGTTAAAATCTTTTAGGAACTAGAACTATGGCATGAATTTTTTGAAGTACAAAGGATCCTAAATCCTAGCAAAACCTTATGAAGATTCACGTTTCACATAATAGAAATTTTTAAATTTGGTTGAGTTTGACCCTTAAGGAATGTATGTTATAAGGAGGCTCCATAACTATAGTAGGATTTTTCCAAGTTTGAAAAATCTCAGATCATTCATGAAATCATAATACATGTAGCCATATTGGTGTAATAGATTTTTTATAAGATTGAAAGAACCTAAATTTTTTGGGATCTCCTACATCAAATGCTATTGAAATATAAGAATTTTGAAGTTTGAACAACCCCAAGATCCACATAAAGTTCTTATGAGTTATTGTCATTGCATTCAATTTTCCATAGCAATCTTCAATTGAAGTGTAACATCACATGTAAAATCAGTTTGACAACCTCGTGCACTACAAGAAATTCAAACATTACCGACGGTTATTATAAGCTTTCCGGCCGTTTTGTAATAAATCGGCGGCTTTTCGGCGGTTCAAAAACCACCAGTAAAAACCGCGTAGCAAACGGCTTATGGCAATCTTTTTCCGGTGGTTTTTGAAACCGGAAGTTTTTCGTCAGCTCATACCGCCGGTCATTTCTGACAGTCGTAACGCCAGTGACCGCCGGTTATTTACCGGCGGCGTACCGACTATCAAAACCGTCGGTAATACCCGCGGCCAAACTGTAGGATCATCGCCAGTTGAACACCGACGGCTTACCGGCGATCACAACCTAAGGAATTACGGTCGACTAAACCTCCGGATTATCGCCGGATAACAGTCGGCAACCATCGGCAAACCTCCGGTAATTTTCAACTAGTATAGTGAACTTCCGACAGCTATGATTGGTCATTCTGTATCGACGTTACGTGCGGCCAAACCGCCAGTTTGCCGCCGAAAATCTGTAGCATTTGAAAAAAAATATTTGGCAACCTCCCCTCTATATTTACTAAATTTCACCCTAAACTCTAAACATGCACAGAAAATATAACAATTATCACAAATATGAGCAACACGCCACTATTTAGATATGGTTTTTATACGTCGGATTTGATACAAATTTGCGGCGGATTTTTCATCGCAAATCTAGCAAAAAAATACAGCAATTTTCATCGCAAAACCGTCCTAATTTTAGAGAAAAGAATTTCATCACAAAGTCCACCACAAATTGCTGACTTTCTTGTAGTGTAAGAAATTCCTACAACACATTAACTTCAACAATAATCAAAATAATGGATGGTCTTAAAAGGTTAGTAATAGTTGCAATAGTGCATAAAAACTTTGTTAAAAGTTGAAGTAATATAAAAGAGAATTGCTTTAGTTAAATAGGTGAATCCTTAGGTGCATGAATGAGATCCAAACATGAGCACTTTGGCATTCTTTGAGGAGACCAAAATTCAAATACCAATTACTAATTCTCATGAATAGATCCTCAATACTCAATCTCTTATGCACAAATAAGGAAGAAAAGTCTTCTATCAATTGCACTACAGGAAAACACGCTATTACCGGCGGACAATATCCGCCGATAACATGTAAAATCCGACGGAAGTCCTGGGTTTCCGGCGCATTTCCGTTGGATTTTTGTACGCCGGTTTGGTGCGCGTCGATCAATGTCTTCCGACGTTTTTAACATTAGAATTCTAGTGATAGTGAAATAGGTGGTGAAATATATGAAGAATATCATCAGCAAAAAACATAAGGCGGTAACTGCGCCGGACCTTGTGTAAATGTCTAGTGAGAACATCTACAACAAAAGTAAAAAGATATGGACTTAAGGCTTATCCTTGATGCAATCCAACTGAATAAGAAATTACTTTGTCAAACCACCTTGTGTTTTAACACAAGAAAAAGCTAAAAGTCGTAGGTGATTCAATGCAAGGAAATCATTATGGTGATTGTAGAAAATTATGTTCAATTTGTATCCTATCTCAAAGGGTCAAGCCACTCATCCACCTAAGCATCTCATCTCTGCAACACTTAACTTAGTATTATGATTCTCTTTTTATGGCCAACATTTGGCACATTAAAGCATTGCAAGTCTCACCACCATCTTATAGAATTTTCACTTATGTTTGAGGGGGACTTTTCTATCACACAATAAGCCCGATGCATTCCTCCACTTCAACCATCAAACTTGAATTCTGCTGATAATATCCCCTTCAATTTCACCATCACTCTGAACAATAGATCCAAGATATCTAAAATGTCTACTCTTATTATTGACTTGATCGCCAAAAGTTACAATCTCATCTTTAAGGCGATTGCTACTAAAATTATACTCCATATATTTACTTTTAGATCTACTCAAGCGAAAACATTTAGACTCTAAAGTTGACCTCCATAATTCAAGTTTACCTTAAACTCCCTCTCTAATCTTATCAACAAGAAGAATATCATCAGCAAAAAGAATGCATAAAGGTACATCCTCTTGCAAATGCCTATTGAGAATGTCCATGACTAAAGCAAAAAGATATGGACTTGAGGCAGATCCTTGATGTAATTCAGACAAAATAGAAAAATACTTGGTCAAACCACCTTGTCTTTGAACACAAGTAATAGCTCATGCATATATATCTTTAATGTTTTGAATACAAACATTATTAACTCTTTTTTTTCAAGAAATCTCCTTAGCACTTTTCTTGAAACATTATCATATGCTTTCTCTAAATCAATAAATATCAAATGTAGATCCTTCTTATTCTCTCTATATTTCTCCATCAAACATCTCAATAAATGTATAACTTCCATAGTAGACCTACCCGGCATGAATCCAAATTGATTTTGAAAAGTTTAGAAACAAAAAAACATTGAATATAAGCGTTATAAACTTTTTTTTTTTGCAAGAACTCTCAATAGCACTACTCTTGAAACTTTATCATATGTTTTCTCTAAATCAACAAAAATCATATGTAGATCCTCCTTACTCTCTCTATATTTCTCCATCAAACCTCTCAAAAAAAGTATGGCTTCCATAATAGAATTACCCGGCATGAATTCAAATTGATTTTGCAAAATTTTTCAACATAAAACATCTACAATATGAATCCTATATCAAATGTCTAAAAATAAATTACATGAAAAAAAAAAAAAAAACTTAAGGAGGCGACTTACAATCGACAGGAGGGAGGCGATGGGAGGGAGGCGGAAACTCGTGGTTGAAAATAGAGCTTTCCCTGGTGACGAATGCGGTGATCGTTGGCGACGTCCGGTGATCGTCAACACAAGTCGGCGACATCGATCTACGGTGAGCGACGCTGGACGACGAGGAAAACCACGGAGATGCGAGAGAAATGAGCAGGAAGACGAGCTCGGATTCGGAAATAGAGCTTTCGCCGGTGGATTTTCCGGCGCATTTGGAGCCGGTTACAAGTCGTTGAGTTTAAAATGACCGTCGTATTTTCCACCGGTAAGTGCGCCATACATTTTCCACCGTAAAGTGCGCCGGTACCAATGAAATGCTGGTATATTCCGACGTTACGACCGGCACATTGGACGTCGGAA